TTTTTTTTACTTTAAACCGCATAAACACATTTCATTACACCAAATACACCAAATAATGTTCTTTTTAGCAGCATCATATGACCCCTTTAAATGACCATTTGAGCTATCATTCTATTTGATTGCTTGGTGTTACATGATGTTTCTTACATGTTATTATGTAATTCTTACGTAATTGCCAAATCAATTGTGTCAAAGAACAAATCAAAGTAATTAAAGCAGATAGAGAAACAAAGACTTGGCAACCCCAGAAGCTGTTTGTTTTGTAATGAGATGTTGCAGTGTGTCAGAGAATTGTATGGTCATGTTAAATAATTATACTGAGCATTAGTGAGTATTAATGAGTACACATCACATAGCGTGACATTGTGTTGTCCAGAGATTGTTTACAGCACAGAGCAAATGATTGCCCTGCAGGCCAGTAAGAGACATCAGCTAACCTGCTTGTGATTGCCATTCCCCCACAGGATATTACTCTAAATCAGGGGCTTCAGCAGGGGCCCGTAACTTCTGCGGGGTCCGTGGTGGTACTGTAAACAAATCTCAAACAAATATTTGTGAAAAAACTAAAAGTATTATATTAAGTAAATGCTTTTTGAACTTTCTATTGATCATAAAAAAAAGATTATGCTTTCCGCAAAAATATTGAACAGCTCAACTATTTTCAAAATTGATAATAAATGTTACTTCAGCAGCATATCAGCGTATTAGAATGATTTCTGAAGGATCATGTGGCACTGAAGACTGAGGCTGAAAATTACATTTTAAAATATATTCAAATAGAAAACCTATTTTAATGGCTTATTTTTTTAATGATTTTTATTATTATTATTACGTTATAGTTATTTTGTCTCCTTCTTACAGTGTAATTATACAGTTAAGTATGGAGTATTATTAATTAACAACATGCACTTACTATAGGGTTAGAGAATTAGTGTTTGGTTTAGGGTTAGTTGCATGTAATTATACATTATTTACTGTTATTGCTATAGTAAATACATGTAACATTAATATATTTTAAAATGTAATTTATTCCTGTGATGCCAAGCTGAATTTTCAGCATCATTACTCCAGTCTTCAGTGTCACACGATCCTTCAGAAACTATTCTGATTTGCTGCTTAAGAAACATTTATTATTTTTATCATCTATGTTGAAAAAAGTTTGCTTAATATTTTTCTGAAACAGTGATACGTTTTTCTCTGGATTCTTTGTATAAAAGATTCAGCAACATTTGAAATGGAAATGATTTCAGCATTTATTTGAAACAGAAAACTTGTGTAGCATTATAAACATATACTTTACTGTCATTTTGATTCATTTAATGCATCCATGTTAAGAATTAATTAAAAGTATTAATTTCTTTGAAAACTGTAATGTAATATACAGTTATGTGAATGACAAAAACCCAGATTTACAAAAAAATATATATTATTGATCACTTTATTTTGTCTCTGCGCACAATGTTAGTATGTCAAAAATGTGACAATTTTTTATTTAGCAGCCAAATTATTAGCATCTTTAAAACTGATACACATACACATAATCTTTTGGCATAGCTATCTTTGTTAAATAATTTGATGGCGTTGGGCAATCACCTTTAAATTTGAGTTCATACCATATTCTATACTATACCATGGGTGTCAATAGATACATTCATTAATCCTTATCATGATCATTATCATTAATCAATATATCTTGAGTTTCTGGTCAGATGGTCAAAGGCTGAAATTTTTCATGTGTTAAGAGCACATGTGGTAAATAACTCACAGCATTTAGCAGAAATAATTAAGTAAGTAATTGACTACAGGCAAAAACACTAAGCTTCCCAAAGACAATTATACAAAATAACAGTAACAATATCAAGTCCTGGAATCCATTTAACAGGCTAATAGTTTTCTCCATGCTGGATATGGAC